TTAATCCATTAAAGATGGTTCCCTCCAATTTTTGTAAAGCCAATGCTAGCTATATCAATCATGCTGTTGAGATGAAAGCAAATTTAGCCTTAAAGTTTGTTGCAGCTCATAAAAAGCAAGATTCTATTTGGTCAGAACTTGAAAAATCAAGTATATATAATAAACTTTCCAGCTAATTTAAGTGACTATACAAGAAAATGGGAGATCAAAAGTGGGTAGTATTAGCTGGCTACTATTGGGAGGGGAAGGGGTAAATATGTGTTTATTATAAGATTAACTCATGTAAGATATATATTATATAGGAGTCAAAACTGATGAGAAGGTGATTGTTCTTCTTATAGATGGCTTGAAGGAAGTAAGAAGGCTCTTGGAGTAGCTTTACCAATAAATAAGTAAACACAAGCTTAGAACTTTAAAGATTTTTACAAATGCATGAGATGATGAACCTAATAACTTATAGGAACAATTTGAACCTGATGATGAACAACTTGTTGCTACTTTAAAACTTAGACGCACATTCAACAACATAATGGACCATGGTGGACAAGGAAGAGTCACTTAGTGGCAAAGATCTAGAAGTACAATGTTGTGAAAGGCAATTTAAATGATTTGTTATGGGAAGCTAGGGCATGTGTTCAAGTAGATTCAAAACAAGTTACTATGAGCACTTTGGTGGCACACTTGAATAGTAATGTCTTTTTATCAAATGATAGGCTTCCAAAGGTAAAATATGGGGTATATAAGTAGCAAGTCAAAACTCCTACTAAGCCTTGGTTATAAAGTTGATATAGATGTTCTATTCAAATCTACATAGTATATTAGTGGAGTTCAAAAGATGGCCAAGAAAGTAGAAGGTAATTAGACAGAGACCTCCAAGTTAATTATCAATAGACAGAGCTAGCTCAAGAATAAAATTAAGTTGAAGTTGAGAGGTTTTCTTCTTTTTTGGTTATAGTGGGGGGTACTTAAGGGAATATTTGGCTTGAACAGGGTGCATCCTTTGGTCCTAGAGGTTCACAAGATGACAAACGGCCATTTTCCAAGCAAAACAAAGCATAGTGTGGGAGTGAAGGGAGTGGAATAAGGAAAAAATCCTTGGTAGAAATGCTTTGTCCAATAGCTTTAGAATGCGTGGAGGTGTAATAGCGACTACGGGCATTTGAGGAGCACAAGATCTATAACAAAGATTGCGTAAGATCAACAGATTTTCCAACATGTGGCCAGCCCTAAGTTAGAATGTTGGCAAAGGTTATAGTAAAGGTTGCCGATAAGACTAGTGATGAGGCTAGGCAGCAGTGGTTCTCCACTTTACAGTGTATTGTCGTAAGGAGTGACATCTTTTGGTGCACTACTTGGGAAGTGAAAGCAAGCATGGAGATTGTAATGGAAGAGTGAGCACCAGGAAAAGCTAGGCTACTTTCAACAGATTGAAGGTTGTTGGTTCTAAGTGGTGTATGAGCCAAAGAAATAAAGAGTATCTTGAGAAACTTGTTTTAGAGCAAGAGAGAAAGGAAAGAAGGGGGAAGCAACAACATGAGAGAGAAGCAAGAATTCTTGCAAAAAATCCACCATTAGTTTATGATCTTGAGAGTCCAAGAGCAAAAAGTGTAAATCCTTTGTGAAGCAATCCTATCATCAAGTAGGAGAACAATCAAGAATAAAAAGACAAGTGGTAGGACTTCACCACCACAGCATAACAACAATATAACAACCTCGGCAGCAACAAGTAATGAATATGGCAACAACAAAAATGAAGTATACCATCTTTAATGGTATGAAGATGCTTATGTGATAGCATTTGAGAATACATCCACAACAAATGATGAAGAAGGTGCAAGAGATTGCAGGAAACTTTTTCCAGCCACATTACAAGGCATAGATATGGAGTGGATGGCTCAAGGTCCAGCAGTCTTGCAAGCATCCTTTTTGGCTACCTTCTAGCCAATAGGCTTTTCATAGTGACTCATGAGTGATTTGAGTCATTTTCAATTTTTGCTAGCTGAGAGTTTACAAATTATACATTGAGGTTCAAGAGCTTGATCCTCAAGAAGCAGCCACAACTAACAAAAGAATACTACACTAATGGCTTGCCTTATATAGTTAATGCCATAATCACAAACTCTTGCCAATGCAATTTATCTTGTGGGAACTTGGGAGCAATCACAGTGTGAAGAGTGTGAAGCTTCCTAGAGACATATTACACCAGTTCCAAAAGCTTGCTTGGATCTGTGGGAGAAGAGCTTTCTATTTGATGGCATCTGATAAGAGAAGACTCAAAGCTGCATGTGGTAAATGGAAAAGCCTTTGATTTTCTACAAAGCTTGAAGAGGCAGCTTGAAGCTTGTGTCTGCAGTCCCAATTTTTATATTGTTATTTGAGAGGTAGAAATAGCTTATTTTAGTTGTTAACTAGCCCATGTTTGTATTTCTGGATTTCCACTAAATTACAATCCAGTTGAAGTTTAAATTCAGGTAATTGCACATATTTATGTTTAATTTGCTTAAGCAAACCTGTGGATGGTAGTGAATATACCTAGAATATACTTTGATATTCTAGGATATTCTACCATCTAGGGTTGCTATTCATTTAGATTAATCTTGTATTTATATGCTTTATTTCGTTAAAGTGGGACTTTTCATTATCCCACTTATGGTGTGTGGCCACATGCCATTTTTATAACAACAATAAAAAATTGAAGTTTTAACTTTATAATTTATAAATTAAAAACTTTTCATATGATTTTGTGTTATAATATTGTGAAATATAAAAAAATAAATTAAAAAACTGATAGAAATATTAATAAATATTAATTAAGTACTAGGAAATGGCATGTGGACACATGCTAATTAATGTCCCACTTTACTGAATAAGTCCCACTTTAACGAAATAAAGCATTTATAGATTATACAAGCTTATAATTTATAAACTTTCTTAAACCCTTTCTAGTATATTCTTTTTTATTCTATCATCTAATGGTTGATATGCAATAATATTAATCTTGTGCTTATAAATTACAAATATGCTTATAATTATAAATTTTATTTGATCAATTGGATTAATAAGTAAGAATAACACTACTATTAAGCAAACCAAGTGTTGTTACATGCAACATATAGCAATTGTTTTTACAATATGAGTTTATTGACCATAAATATCAAATGCATCTTTAATTTACAATAAATATAATACAGAACCACCATAGTAATGTAAAACAGGCTCTCGACTTGTTCCAGAAGATGCAAGGCAGACAAGATGACCTTCAAGTCCATCCTCACATATTGCAGCCACACTGTGATGGAATGGTAAAAGTTACTATTGAATGCTTGTTGTATAGAGTTTTATATATACATTCATCTCTTTTAATCTCTCTTAGATTCCCACTACAGATTCTTGTGTTCTTGATTCTTGCTCCAACACTCCCTCTCAATCTGATCCATCCTAGATATTAGTGTTGGATATACTGGAGATGATGTGATAGTGGTTATGTCTACAGGGTAGTAATTATGTACCCATTCATATACAATGATATATAGTTCTTTCCTCCTCATCTATATGTTTTATACATGTGTTTTTCTGCTTTCATGGTATCAAGGCCCTCTTGATCCTATTCATGACACTTGCTGGCCAAGAGGCTAGTGATAAAAGAAAGGAGGATGAGCCTCCTGATTGCAATCTTTTTTGCAATGTTTGGGATGATTGAGGTGTTGGATGCATTGGATGCTTGAGGTGCTAGATCAGTACCAAGCTTTGAAAAGCATTGAGCAACAAACAACATTAAGTAGAAAATAAGCTAGTGGGAGATTAAGAGATTTCAACAACCCAAATAAAGAATTGGGTTAAGTCTCAAAAATATTACATAACAACTCTTTATAAGCATTTCCAGCAATTGGGAAGAATGCTTATGGAGATTCAAGTGCTAATTAACAAAGGACATGGGAGTGTAGCATTTCAAAGCCAAAACCATATAATAGAGGCAAGATTGAAGCCATAGTAGTAAGCAAGAGTGTGCAAATAAAACCAAGACCAAGAACAAAGCTTTGAGTGGTTGATTGATGAGTTTTTTATATACTTTTTTTTATTGACTCCTCATATTCCATCATCTCATCCTTGCCATGTATGATTCAAGGTTAGATTCAGATGTGGATCAAGCACTTGATCGTGACTAGAAGTGTTGGATAGTAGAGATGATATGGCAATGGTTATGCCTATGTGGCAATAGTTCCATGTATATGTATCCATTTATATACAGTGATTCCTCCTCATTCTTGGCAAAGGTAGTTGAGAAACAACTTGTCACATGGACGGAGTAGTGAGGGTGTAGAGCAACTGGAAAGGCCGGCTTCCACCCACATTACTTGTTTAGTCATGGTGAGGGTCACTCTTGAGATGCTTTGTTACACTTCCATATATGCATGTTATGTTGATATTGTCAAGGTGTTTGATCCAGTCTCATATAGCAAACTCTTCCAATGTCTACACGAGCTTGACATCCCTCTGGAACTCATCAAGATCATCCAAAGACTCTACGAGAATGTCAAAGAAGAACAATATCATCGACTCACAGTGGCCTGTGATGGAGTGCCCATGAGCACCAGGACCATGAAGGACATTTTGGATCGAGTCCAAGTGGAGTGTGCATTGGAGTACAGTAGGGATGCCCACACTCCCCCACACTTTTTTGGATTGTTTATTAATGGTTTGGAAACAATTATGGCGGGACAGATACCATCTTAGATTATCTTGGCTGGGATAATCCTCTATTTAGATGATCCTTCTGCTCACCCATAACAGCCAAGGAATCCAACAACAAATCGATATACTTGCCATGTTTTGTGATGGCAATGGGCTTGATGTAAACATAACCAAAACCATCAACGAAAGGACCAGTCCAGTATTGTTGTCGGCTGAACAAACTCCGACTCTTGAAGATCAAATAACAGTGAGCCAAGTAAAGGCTCTGTCAACAACATTCAAGTTTTGAAGCGAGAAGTTCATAATCATAGTCTCAACGATCACGCTCAGCACAACAGTTTTATCACATGTCCTGTTTTATTACATGCTCAGATCAATATAAAGTCCTAAGGAAAATGGGACCTACCCTCATGGTCCCTCATGGTCTTCGCCATCTTGGTCTTGGTCTCCCGTCATCCGTTCCATCTCGCATAGTTAATAGGCGCCAAGGCGGTCTTCAATGCTTATATTATATTTTGATCGACCCTGATAGACGCATTTACAAGCAAGTCAGCCTTGAGCTTTGTTGTCATACTTCTAGTACGCTCTTCCATGTCGATCCCAGCCGGGTTAGCAGCACTCCAATCGAATGCCTGGAGCAAACTGGCCACGAAAAACAGGATCGATCTCATGGCCAGTGGATAGCCAGGACAAACTCTCCTCCCAGATGAAAATGGAAGAAAATCAAAGTTCTGCCCGTTCACAGATATGGAGGAGCCGAGAAAGCGCTCAGGCTGGAACGCTTCTGGGTCGGCCCAGCGAGCGGGATCGCGTCCAATGGCCCATATGTTGACGAGAACCTTGCAGCCACCAGGGATGGTGTAGCCACCCAGCTTGACGGGCTTGGGATTCACGTGAGGAAGTCCCAGTGGGGCTGCCGGGTGGAGACGCAGTGATTCCTTGACAATGGCTTCGACGTATGGAAGGCTTGGAAGATCGGACTCTTGCAGCGCTCGAGCTCTCCCTACAACGCTGTCAATCTCCTCTTGAGCCTTGGACATGACTCGGGGATGGTTTATGAGCTCCGCCATCGTCCACTCGAGCGTCGCTAGTGAAGTTTCCAGCCCCGCAACAATCATGTCCTGCGCAAGAAGGAAAAAGGAGAGCTTTAAGACTAACAAGATGCTGGTAAAACTTATTACCCAGAGTAGTGCCAAAATGGAGATGTCTGGCAACTTATCCTTGTCCTCCAGAGATATAAGAACGTCAGTGAAGTCTTGAGGGACGAACCTGTCCCCAGCTTCATTTTTCCTGCGTCGGTGTTTGTCAATTTGATCTTCCAGCAAGAGCTTAAGGCGAGGTACGAGCTCCGCGTTGAGCTTCTTGTAGACACCATGAAGATCCAGCCCATCGAGTGCCGGAAGCAGGGTTCCAATGTTCACGCTCAGATGAGATCCACCACTTTAAGCTCCCGCTCGCTAAAAAGAACCAGGCATAGTGAATTTGACAAGAGCTTGCCCAAAACCTCTTGCAGCTTGATCGTTGTCCCGGATTGCTGGAGAATGGACTTGACTGTATGCTTCATCTCCGACTCCCGGAATCCTCCACTTGCCTTGAGCATATTATTGCTAAACAGGTGTGTGCTACAAATCCTCCTCATAGTCCTCCACTTATCACCGATGGGCGCCAAGACGAGATCGTTCCAGTCCTGGCTGACGATTCGGAAGTACTCGTCGTCCGGCCGGCTTACAAACTCGAGGTCGTGGACCTTAAGAACCTGTGCTGCCATTTCGTTGTCGTTCACCACCACGAACGGGGCGATTCCGATCTTGAGGAAGACAATCGGCCCATACTTTTTGCTGATCTTTGTGAAGTGGTGATGAAGTGGCTCTTCAAGGGAGAAGAGCGCTCCAAAAATGGGGAAAGAGAATGGACCTGGAGGGAGCCCCTGAACTCTCCCACCTCTCCCGATGACAAGTGACAGGGTGATCAAGCCAATGCCAAGGACGAACAAGGCCACAACCAAGTCCATCGATTCACTGGTCTGTATTAACATGCCATCGCCATATATAGAGAACTGGCAAACAGCATCGTGATTCTCGTGTTCGTGATTCCAGAAGATATAAAACATCAGCGTGCATGGAAGAGTAACGTGATCCTTTCTTGCAGGGCAAAAATCGATGCCCTTGCACATGTTGGCCACGTGACGTCCTATAATCACATCATTTGCTACTTATGACTTTTGGAGGTTTTCATTTTTATATGGTCCAGGATTTAAATATCCAAGCAACTTATCTCAATCCAGGATTTAAATAAGGATTCCAATGTGCCTGGTGTCACCCACTCTGCCATCACCATATTATAGGGAACTGGCCTTCCAATGAATGCAAACAGCATGGTAAGGCATTTTAGAAAACATATAAAATATGAGGTTGCATGATCACGTGGCCCAAGACTTGTCGCTGGACGAGATCAAGCTTCCAAAGATGTTTGCCATGAGAACGTACGGCGCCGCTTGCTCCCCGTCAACCTGCCGCAGCCTCTCAAACGCCACCCTCGCGATCCGGACGTTGTTCCACTTCTGGCACGCCCCCACCACCCTCTTCCAAGTCACAGCATTTGGATCAAACGGCATTCGCCACTGCCTCGTCCAGATGGTTGGCACGCCCCAGAAGATCGATCATGCAGTGGTAGTGGTCTATGTCCGGCTCCACGCCGTGCTTGGAGGCCATAAGCTCGAACAGCTCTTTTCCACCAGTCCGGCGTGGCATAAGGATGGACGTGAAAGCCACATCTTCCGGAACAAGTCGAGAGCCTGCTTTACGTGGCCGTGGCGGCTGTATCCTGCTATGAGCGAGCTCCAGGAGACAACGTTCTTGTGCCCAGCGCGTCAAAAGCCTGTTTTGCCTCTTCCAGGCTCCCACAGTTGCAATAGCAGTCCACTAAGCCGATGAATCCATCTTGGTCGAGCCTGAGGCCACGAATCTCGCCATGGACGTCTCTCGAGGTTTCAAGCGACGCCATGCTGCCACAGCCCATCGGCACTGCAGCGTAAGTTCGAGTGTCCGGCACGAGCCGTTTGTTGGGTTTAATCCGCCGGAAGAATTGCAAGGCCTGTTCACCGTCACCGATCTCAGCATAGCCCAGGATGAGAGAATTCCACGTAACGATATTGCGGCTCGGCATCTTACCGAAGCACTTCCATGCTCCCGCACGTCAAATACATGTCGATCAAGGTGGTGGCCACGAAAAGCTCCGTTTCGCAGCGACACTGCACCGCTTGCGAATGTACATCCATCCCTCTCTTCAAACTCTCCCGTCAACCTGTTTCCCAGCTTCTTTTGCAGCTAGGCTGGGGCATGCAATCAGCGCCGCAACGAATGTCCGAGCGTTCCGCGATGCCTCTAAGATCTCGAGTGCACGCTCGTTCTCGCCATTCTCAACGTGTCCCAGGATGAGAGCGTTCCAGGACACCACGTCCAAGCGCTGCATTCGCTGGAACGCGGCTCTAGCATCTTCCAGGCTCCCACACCCGGCAATACATATGGATCAAAGTGCTCGCGAAGAAAACGTCCGAGCCGCAGCCACCTTTCACAGCTTGTGAATGAAGCGCTCGTCCCTTCTCAAGATATTCGGCCTTGTCACTCCCATCAGCTTTCTCGGCCAATCCAGCACAGGCCATGAGCGCTGCGACAAAAGTCCGAGAGTTGGGAGGACAGCCATGGCGTTGCAGAGCTCCAAAGTTTCCTCTCCATTCTCGTTACACCCCATCATCATCGCGGTCCACGACACAACGCTCTTCTCCTCCTTTCCAATTCGGTCGAACACCTCTCGAGCCTCCGCAATGCACCCAAGCTTCGAGTACATGTTGATGAGCGTGTTTGCAACGTAGGTATTGGATCTATAGCCAGCGCTGAAAGCTTGAGTATGGATCTCTCGACCCTTCTCTAGAACCACCATTCTTTCCAGAGTGCTTCCCGTGCTGCCGGTTCATCTCTTCCTGTGCGCCCAGAGCAATGCACGCCATGAGGGCCGCAACATAGGTCCGATTGTCAACCGTGAAACCCTCTCTTCATGCGATCGAAGACGTCTATTGCTGCTTCCGGCTCGCCATTCTCAGCGTACCCCAGGACCAGCGAATTCCAGGACACCACGTCGTGGCACGAGAATCCGCCACGCTGCCGCATTTCGCAAAGATACTGACAAGGCCATTGGCAACAGCGCTAGAATGGAGTCCCGGGGACCCTTGGCGCTGCTACATGACTTCACTGCCTAGAAAGACCTATGTTCCCGGCGGCTAGATCGTGCTGTTCTTGGCGATCGGACGCTAACGCAAATCCGACGTGTCAAGCAGTTTCCGTCAGTCAATTAGGGCTAGGGTTTTTTAAAAAACAAAGAAAGATACTGTTACATAGCAATATGACTTGGAATCAGAAAAAAAAGTCCAGGTTTCCAGACGATTCCAATGTCACTGATTTTAGCCGCTTGGAGGAGTAATCTCCAAACACATCACAGCCACGGACAGTGATTTTCAGTCACGACGTCGCCACTTCCATCAATCACATATTTAACTCCTGAGGGGCGATCACGTCCCTGGATTACGCACTCGCAGGGTCCACAAAGTTGGAGCAAACACATTGGTCCTCAATGTACGAGCAAAAGACGAGTTTTAACTAAAATTTCCGGGAGATCTTGGTGAAAATGCTGACCTTGACTGGTACAATCGTGAAGACTTCATACTTCAAGTGCTCTAAACTCACTGGTATTGCGGTAATTCGCCTGGAAGAAAATCGGCATGAGAAAACCAACGACTTTCAATGTAAACAACCGCATCGCTGCGACTTTGTCCAGAAACTCAACACGGGTGCCCATCGAGGCTTGTAGGAGGCCCCTAGAGCTTTAACAGTTTGACTACTTCTACATCTACTCTGTTCAGGATTGCGTAATGTACTAGCTGTTGCTATTAACATCGAGCATTAGACTTTTAAACACCTAGTATTTGTATTTATATTGTATTTGAAACATCTCCAACGCTAAACAATTTAATCAACATGGTATAGAAAGCTTTATATTATATTTTGATCGACCCTGATGGACGCGTTTACAAGCAAGTCAGCATTCAGCTTCATAGTTGTACTTCTCGTGCATTCTTCCATGTCGATCCCGCTCGGGTTAGCAGGACTCCAATCGAATGCCTGGAGCAAACTGGCCACGAAAAAAGGGATGGATCTCATCGCGAGTGGATACCCAACACAAACTCTCCTCCCCGATGAGAATGGAAGGAAGTCAAAGTTCTGCCCGTTGGGAGAGATGGAGGAGCCGAGAAAGCGCTCCGGCTGGAACGCTTCTGGGTCGGACCAGCGAGCGGGATCGCGTCCAATGGCCCATATGTTGACGAGAACCTTGCAGCCGCCAGGGATGGTGTAGCCTCCCAGCTTGACAGGCTTGGGATTCATGTGAGGAGCGCCCAGTGGCACCGCCGGGTGGAGACGCAGTGATTCCTTGACAATGGCTTCGATGTATGGAAGGTTTGGAAGATCGGACTCTTGCACCGCGCGAGCTCTCCCTACAACGCTGTCGATCTCGTCTTGGGCCTTGGACATGACTTGGGGATGGTTTATGAGCTCCGCCATCGTCCACTCGAGCGTCACTAGTGAAGTTTCCAACCCTGCAATAACCATGTCCTGACGCAAAACTAGAGTTTTTCAGTGATCGCGACCACGATCTAGATGCTTACCGAGAGCAGTGCCAAGATGGAGATGTTTGACAGCTTATCCTTGTCCTCGAGAGATATAAGAACGTCGGTGAAGTCCTGAGGGACGAATGTGTCCCCAGCTTGATCTTTCCTACGTCGATGCTTGTCGATTTGATCTTCCAGCAAGAGCTTAAGGCGAGGTACGAGCTCCGTGTTGAGCTTCTTGTAGACTCCATGAAGATCCAGCCAGTCGAGTGCCGGAAGCAGGGTTCCAATGTTCAAGTTCAAGCTTAGACCGAGTATGTTCCGGATGAGATCCACCACTTCCACCCCCCGCTTGCTAAAAAGAACCAGGCATAGTGAATTTGACGCGAGATTGCTCAAAACCTCTTGCAGCTTGATCGTTGTCCCGGATTGCTGGAAAATGGCCTTGACTGCATGCTTCATCTCCGACTCCCGGAATCCTGCGCTAGCCTTTAGCGTACTGTTGTTAAACAGGTGTGTGCTAGAAATCCTCCTCATTGTCTTCCACTTATCACCGATGGGCGCCAGGATAAGATCGTTCCAGTCGTGGCTGACGATCCGAAAGAACTCTTCGTCCGGCCGGCTTGCAAACTCGAGGTCGTGGGCCTTAAGAACCTGCGCTGCCATTTCCTTGTCGGTCACCACCACAAACGGGACCATTCCGATCTTGAGGAAGACAATCGGCCCATACTTCTTGCTGATCTTCGCAAAGTGCTGGTGGAGTGGCTCCTGGAGGGAGAAGAGTGCTCCAAAAATGGGGAAACAGAAGGGACCTGGAGGGAGCCGCCGCTGCGAAGATAGAATTCTCCCGATGAGAATGGTCAAGCCGACGCTAAGGAGGAACAAGGCCACACCCAAGTCCATCGATTTGATGCTCTGGATCCACAGGCCATCGCCATATTATAGAGAACTGCTGTTCCGACGAAGACAACTTGATTTGTTACTCTTGCATCACCTTTCTAGAAATCAAATTAAACTTCAGTTTGCGTGGAAAATAAAGCACCTTAAGTCTTCCTCGTCGAGCGGTTGGAGCAAGACTTGTCGCTGGACGAGATCGAGCTTCCAAAGATGTTTGCCATGAGAACGTACGGCGCCGCTTGCTCCTCGTCAACTTGCCGCAGCCTCTCAAACGCCACCCTCGCGATCCGGACGTTGTTCCACTTCTGGCACGCCCCCAGCACCGTCTTCCAAGTCACGGCATTTGGATCAAACGGCATTCCCTCCGCCATCGCCACTGCCTCCTCCAGATGGTTTGCGCGGCCTAGAAGATCGATCATGCAGTGGTAGTGGTCCATGTCCGGCTCCACGCCGTGCTTGGAGGCCATAAGCTCAAACAGCTCCTTCCCTTTTTCCACCAGTCCGGCGTGGCTGCAAGCCGTGAGGATGGACGTGAAGGTCATCTTGTCCGCCTGGAAGCCACCGTCTTGCATCGTCTGGAACAAGTCGAGAGCCTGCTTTACGTGGCCGTGGCGGCTGTATCCTGCTATGAGCGAGCTCCAGGAGACAACGTTCTTGCTGCCCAGCGCGTCAAAAACCTGTTTTGCCTCTTCCAAGCTCCCACAGTTGCAGTAGCAGTCCACCAAGCAGTTGGCGATGAATCCATCTTGGTCGAGCCCGAGACCACGAATCTCGCTATGGACGTCTCTCGCGGTTTCAAGCGACGCCATGCTGCCACAGGCCATCAGCACTGCAGCGTAAGTTCGAGTGTCCGGCACGAGACGTTTGTTGGCTTTCATCCGCCGGAAGGCTTGCAAGGCCTGCTCACCGTCACCGTTCTCCGCGTAGCCCAGGATGAGAGAATTCCACGTAACGACGTTGCGGCTGGGCATCTTGTCGAAGCACTTTCGGGCTTCGACCATGCTCCCGCACTTCGAATACATGTCGATCAAGGTGGTGGCCACGAAAAGCTCCGTTTCGCAGCGACACTGCACCGCTTGCGAATGTACATCCATCCCTCTCTTCAAACTCACCGGCTTCACGAGCTTCCCGTCAACCTGTTTCCCAGCTTCTTTTGCAGTCAGGCTGGAGCAGGCCATAAGCGCAGCAACGAAAGTCCGAGCGTTCGGCGAGCAGCGGCGATGTCTCTCGATCCTCTTCATGCCGCCGAAGATCTCGAGTGCACACTGGCTCTCGCCATTCTCAACGTGTCCCAGGATGAGAGCGTTCCAGGACACCACGTCCAAGCGCTGCATTCGCTGGAACGCGGCTCTAGCATCTTCCAGGCTCCCACACTTGCAATACATATGGATCAAAGTGCTCGCGAAGAAAACGTCCGAGCCGCAGCCACCTTTCACAGCTTGTGTATGAATCGCTCGTCCCTTCTCAAGATATTCGGCCTTGTCACTCCCATCAGCTTTCTCGGCCAATCCAGCACAGGCCATGAGCGTTGCGACAAAAGTCCGAGAGTTGGGAGGACAGCCATGGCGTTGCATTTGCCGAAAGAGCTCCAAACTTTCCTGCTCGTCTCCATTCTCGTTACACCCCATCATCATCGCGGTCCACGACACAACGCTCCTCTCCTCCTTTCCAATCCGGTCGAACACCTCTCGAGCCTCCGCAAGGCACCCAAGCTTTGAGTACATGTTGATGAGCGTGTTTGCAACGTAGATGTTGGATCCATAGCCAGCGCTGGAAGCTTGAGCATGGATCTCTCGACCCTTCTCTAGAACCACCATTCTTTCCAGAGATTTCTTCCCGTGCTGCCGCTTCATCTCTTCCTGTGCGCCCAGAGCAATGCACGCCATGAGGGCCGCAACGTAGGTCCGATTGTCAGCCGTGAAACCCTCTCTCCTCATGCGATCGAAGAGTTCCAATGCTGATTCCGGCTCGCCAATCTCTGCGTACCCCAGGATCAGCGAATTCCAGGACACCACGTCGTGGACCGCCATCTCGTCGAAGACGGCGCGAGAATCCGCAAGGCTGCCGCATTTCGCGAACATACTGACCAGCGCATTTGCCACGACGATGCTCGAGACGAGGCCATTGGCAACAGCGCTAGAATGGAGGCGCCTGCCCTCTCGGAGATCCTTGGCGCAGCTACACGCCTTCACTGCCGCTAGAAAGCTGGACTTGCTCTCGAAATTTCCCTGTTCTCTACGCGGCTGCTGATGTTGCTGTTCTCGGCGGCTAGATCCCTGGAGGTTTTGCTGCTCTTGGCGATCAGATCGAAACCAGCGCCTTAGAATCGACGAGCGCTTACCTAGAGTGATCGCTCTCTTCCCTCGCATGAGCCCTAAATAATATTCGCTTTCTAAACGATCCTCCAGAATATTCGATTTTTAAAAAAATGGTAACTAGAACACTGTTACATTGCGATAGAGAGTTCACCTCCTCTCTCTCCAAGGTCGATCTTGACGAATCCAGTGTTAGAATCATAGAAAAAAACCAGATTTCCAGACGATTCCAATGTCACTGATTTTGGTCGCTTGGAGGAGTAAGCTCCAAACACACCACATCCACGGACTGTGATTTTCACAGTCACTGCGTTGCCACCTCCATCGTTTGTGGTCTCCGCGACCGCGTAATCCAGGGACGTGATCGCCCCTCCGGAGTTAAACATGTTAACAAGTCCGATTGGAGCAAACACCAAGTCTTCCGAGATACACTGCGCGAGCAAAACGAAGAGTTTTAACAAAACTTTCCTGGAAATCGTGGTGAAAATCCTTACCTTGACTGGTACAATCGTGAAGATTTCATACTTCAAGTGCTCTAAACTCACTGGTATTGCGGTGCCTTTCGGGAGAAGAACTAATTCGCCTGGAAGAAAATCGGCATGAGAAAAGCTTCCAGTCAGTAACTTTCAGAAACTTACCAGCTCTGTGACTGTAAACAACCGCATCGCCGTTCCAGTCGGCTGCTACGACTGTGTCCAGGAACTCAACATCACAGGCACGGATGCTTCCCGTGACGGTCATTGGAGAATCGTCGTGAATCCTGTAGGTCTTGTTTTCTTTGCACCATCCGGCACCTTGACAGTTGAAAGCACCTATCACTCCCGTGTGCTTGTTCACGTTCCATATTTTCAAAATGCTGTGGAAAACCCCAAAGTATGTCAAGGCTTTTTGATAAGTTCTCTTTCTTTACCTTTTCTCATCTTGTGTGGGATCTGAAAAGAGGCAGTCACGAGTAGGCCGTCCAGGGAGTTGAGCTCGCAGAACGGAGCCATCTGGTAAAACTAGCTTCTTCAGCAAATTGAAGTCGTGATGCCCGGGCTTGTCACTGAAACGTAATAACATCGTATCAGACACTCACATGAGGTTTGATTGATTGCTACGTACCTGACGTAAACGCCACAGCCCCCGACTGCTCGAGCAGCAGCATGATACTCTGCTGCCGGATGTAAGCTCTGAATTGCGAAGAAACGAGACAATTACTTTTGAGTTTGAAAAACAGCAAACGAAACAAAACTCACCTGGAACATGTCCCAGTCTGGCTGCATAACTTCCCCAAGGAAGAGACTGTTGTACGCGACAGAAGCAATATGAATAGTATGTGATGCTGGATCTGCTGGCCAAAAGTCATCTGACGCACGAACAACGGCGGTCTTGTTTGAACTGCAAGCAACGCAGCAAGTCAAAACAACGAAGCAGAACTAAATTGACCTGTAGAAACCGTCGGTGTTATGGCTCATGCAGGCGATGCAGCCATTATCTGGAAAGTTTCGAGCAATCGATGCTTCAAGAGCTTGGTAAAACTTCTTTGTCAGCTGTACTCGGCCACCATGTCCTTCGCCAAGCGTTTCCAGAATGCTCTGGACATCAACCTTCACCCCGTCAATGCCGCTACTGGCAAGATAGCTGTGGAGCTCGTTGTAGAAAGAAAAAGCATGGTTTGGATCCACAAGTCCCAAACCATGCAAGGTAAGGCTGTCATGTGCCATATCTGGTTGATGCTGTAGCAGGCCAGGGGAAATCGATGGGTACGCCAATTTTGCTTGGTATAGACCAGGCTGCAAGCCTCCCCAGTAGCCCAGCACAGCATGCCACACGTAAATATATCTGCAAAGGCAAAACGAAATAAGCATTCATGCCTGACCAAAGATATGAAAGTATAACTCACTTGAGATTGTATTCGCTTTTGGCCTCAGCAACTATGTGGTGAAGCCCGCTTTCTCCATTTCTTTGAAACTTATGATTTTCCTTGATATCTGTCAATCTTTTGGCAAACCTGAGAGATCATAAAAAGAGACATGCGTCAACTCGCCAATAAAAATAGCTTGATGCTTACTGCACGCCACTTGTAACGACTTGTGTCTCAGCTTGTTGCACAGATCCGGGTGGATCGTCGTGCGCCACTGACTGCCATCCATCATCTATAATCAGGAATCGAGGCGGTGTTCCGCCGGCACAAAGGCTGCAGAAAAAAAAAAAAAAGCAAAATACTGTCACGATAAGAAAACTTTGCTGAAAATCATTAAGATTCCAACCTTTCCAATCCGTTCCTCACACCAGCCGCGGAGACATCAGTGTAGAATGCATCCCACGTACACCAGCCGAACCAGTCTAGCATTCCTGGAAGCTAAACAAGAACACAAGAATTTTACAAAGTTCATGCCGCACCACGGCTTACTTTCTTCTCAGTCCGGAGAGAAAAAGTTTGAAGATGGGATTTCACGGCCCTGCAACAAAATAGACTTCTTGCGCTTAGAAGTTGCTCACTCAAACTAGTTCTCTTACCTCATCGCATCACTTAAAACTTGAAATGGATTTGAACCAGAGTGGATATACAACGTATGCAGTCCCTGCAGCGAAACCACTGCCGGATCCCCTGACAAAACGAGAAAACAATAAATACACGCATCAGGAATGAAAAAAAATCAAGCAGTAACACTTACCACTTTCAAGGCAGATCTCCAACTCGTTCTCGGCACTGCCTTGCAATGAGGACCTGAAAGCACCTTCCACCATCGGAAGAAACACCGTGTAGATAGCTTCATCACTGGACTTGCTCTCAACGAGAAGGAATTGAGTTTCCAGCGGCACATCGCTGCCGCAAGTCCCAGTTCTCTGGGTCATCCACCATAACTTAAATCGAAAGCAGCACAAGAATCTAAGATGCCTGAAGGAACAACGAGTTTGTAAGCTCGAAAAACCAAGGAAAAGGGAAAACGAGAACTTACTCGAGAACACCAAGAGTGAAGACATGCCGGCAATTTTTCTCAAGAGCTTGGACACCGAGAAAAACTCCACTCTGAGAGTCCACAGTGAGAGTAACGTTGTCCGGGACATTGGCCAGCAAGACTCCCCCATGAGTCACGAGGCTCCCATCGGCCAGCGTGATATCTGGCGTGATTGTCATGTCGACAGCAGCGGCAGTAGCGGAATTTGGGCAGAGAGAAAGAAGAAAAGGCCTTCCCCTCCAAAAGAATCAAAGAACTATGCCGGTGGATCGCGGATCCAGCAGCTGACCGCGGCGAAACTGGAAAAAATCCGACGCGCCTCGCACCAAAACCTCCCCGCGCTGGGGAAAAAAGAATGCGCGCTATGGCATTCCTAGGTCGAGAAGACGAGAGGAATGCGATGAGATTGGCGACGCGGCCGATCGATTTCTAGCGCGATGAACAGCGCCCCTGAGACGCGATTCACATCGCCGCACATGCCTGATATTTTAGGGCGGAAGGCCTGCTGAGTCAGCACAATGTGGATCGAATGACCAGGCACCACGTCATTGCGTGTCTAATCCAAATTTCCCCTTTCTCTTTCAGGGAATATGCCCGCTCTGTTTTGGCGCGTTTGTCTCATTTGAAGAGATGGCCTTTCGGTGGAACAAGAACACACGAAAGCTTTTTTCTTTTCTTGGGTATCAATTCCAAGAGTTGCTGGTGAACACGTTGGTACCGCTCGATCCATTAGAGATTTCGTCCGGGCGTGCCTCCACTGTGCTCGAGACACGCTCCAAGGTGGTGGCTATGGAGCTTATCGTTGGGCGGTGCTCGGCATCGAAGCTTGTGCACTGGAGAGCTAGCCTGAGCACCTCTTCCAGCGCTGCCGAGTTCTCTGGAAGGAAAATCCTCGGATCAAACAGCGAGCAAGTGTTGCTCTTGCCGCGCTGGAGAAGAACCCACGAGACCAAGCTCCTCTCGGAGCCTAGCATTGCTTGGCGGCCTGTGAGGAGCTCCAGCAGCACCACTCCAAAGCTGTAGACGTCGCTCTTGGTGGTGAACTTCGCCGTCTGGAAGTACTCCGGATCCATGTAGCCTGGAGTTCCCACCATCGTCGCGAGCTGCGTGGTGTTTCCGGAGGGAGAGAGGCTGAAGCCAAAGTCGGACAAGTGTGCGTTCCAGTCCTTGTCCAGGAGTATGTTTGCTGCTTTCACGTCTCGGTGGAGTATCTGTGGAGATGCGTAGATGTGCAAGTATTCCAGTCCTCGAGCGGCCTGTGCTGCGATGCGGATCCTTAGAAACCAGTCGAGTCGGATCTCTGGCTTCTTGAATAGGCAGTCGAAGAGCGAGCCGTTCTCCATGAACTCGAAAGCCAGGAGCTGCTCTTGAGCGCAGTATCCCACCAAGTTGACGAGGTAAGCGTGGTGTAATCTGGCCAGCAGGGAGAGCTCCTTCACTAAAGACTTGTCACCCGCTCGAGATTTCTTCAAAGCCAGTGCTCGTCCGTCCGGGAGAACAGCCTTGTAGACCACTCCGCTAGCACCTTTCCCAATGATCATCTCGGAGCGATAGTTTTCTGTAGCACGGACGAGGTCCGAGCCACTGAACGCCACCAGCCTGTTTGCGAAGGTTTCCCATGCCTTAGTTTTGGGTGATCCTTGAGCTCTTCGTCTCCAGATACAGTATCCCGCAACAGCAGCAAGAATCACTGCTATTACTGCCCCCACCGAAATTCCCACTGCCAAACCACTCATACTTATCGGTTTCTCCAGATCCTTGTTAATCTGTTGCAAAGAACTTGGACTTGGACTTGGTGCTCCCATGCACTTCATATTGCCTTGTAAACAGTCGAGACACACTCGATCTCCAGCAACCGGGCATTTCTTCGAATTATCTTCCGAAAGCTCGTACTGTTGGCCGCTGCATGCTTGACTGCTACACAGTCCCTGGCTCACTTTGACGTTCCCCGTAAACACCACTGAATTCCCCCAGCACTTGACTCTCTGCGAATCGTTCAAGCTCACGCCACAAGTGTAGTAGTCTCCAGCCGCAATGACCGAAAACGCTTCGTCCTTCGGTGGAGCCGTCTGATTGAAAGCACCGTCTCCCCAGCAGACTACGTTCCCCTTCCCCTTCACAATCCCGCAAGAGTGGAAAAGTCCCAAGGCTAGCGAAGAAAACTCCACGTCCTTCCCGTATGAGCTACACTGTCCGAAGTTGTTCCACCCCCAGCAAAACGCAGTCCCAGTGTCCTTTTCCAGTCCGCAAGTGTGCGTTCCTCCGGAGAACAAAACACTAAAGGCGACGTTTTTCGGCTGTGCGCGGGAGAAAAGAGCGGTGGAACGATCCCATCCCCAGCAAAGAGCTTCGCCACCCTCGACGAGCCCGCAGGTGTAGTCATATCCGGAGCTCACTTGGATAAAGCTGCGAGCTTGCGGAAAGTTTAGCTGCCCATACGTGTTTTGTCCCCAGCAGTCGAGCTTTCCACTGCTTCTTAGAGCGCAGACGTGACCCTGTCCAGCGCTCAAGCTGCTGTAGCTCACATCCCTGTAAACCGGTGGAACCGTCGAGTTGGGATTCCCCCAGCAAAATGGCTTCTTGCTCTCGTAGCTAAGCCCGCAAGTGAAGTAGCCACCGGAGCTCAGAGCAAACATGGGAGTGCTCGGAGCATCTGTGTTGTTTTGCGTTGGAAACGTACCTGAGCACGATGGCAGGAGAGTTCCCGACTCGAGCACGCACAGCGCGAAGGAATTCGTGTAGGGGGCCCGACCGTTCCAGCTGGGATTGTCCGACTTGCTCCACATCGGTCCCAGAGTGTTCAGCGTCCCCACGGAGAGAGCAGTCCATGGCAGAAGAGCTATGCAAAGCAATTCCAGGAGTGAGAACATGGATCGAGAAGAACATCCAAGATCCATTTCCCCGGAGAGAAAGGTCTAGCTCACCTCCACTGGATGCTAAGAAGACTTTTTCCAAAACGCTGACTTTTCATCCCCGCTCTTGGGATCTGGACAGAGAAAAAGGAGATTTCTATACAACGTGTTGCCAAATCTCACTAAAAGACACCGAAAAATCAGGGATACCACTTGTGATTTTGGAGGAGCACCATCGCTGACTAGGAAAAACCCACTTGTTCTTCATTTAGGGCTCCTAGCCATTGGCGGGAAATTCAAAGTAAACCACCAGTTTAGCATTAATGGTAAAAAATGCTTAATTATTTCGCTTCAAGCGGTGTTCGCAACACCGCTTATACCGGGACGAAGATCCATCAAAGCTTGTGCACTGGAGGGCCAGCTCGAGCACCTCTTCCAGCGCTGCGGAGTTCTCTGGAACGTAAATCCTCGGATCAAGCAGCGAGAAAGAGCTGCTCTTGCCGTGCTCGAGAAGACCAAGCTTTGAATCGCTTGTCGACCTGTGAGGAGCTTCAGCAGCACCGCTCCAAAGCTGTAGACGTCGCTCCTGGTGGTGAACTTGATGGTTTGCACTCCGGTTCCATGTAGCCTCGTGTTCCCACCATTGTCATGAACCGGGTGCTACTCCCCGACGTCGAGAGGGAGAAGCCAAAGTCGGACAAGTGTGCGTTCCAGTCCCCCTCCAAGAGTATGTTTGCTGCTTCACATCTCGATGGAGTATTTCTGGAGACGCATACTTGTGTAAGTAGTCCAGTCCTCGAGCTGCCTGTGCTGCGATGCGAATTCTCCCGTAGCAATCCAGCCTGATCTCTGGCTTCTTGAAAAGGCAGTCGAAGAGCGAGCCGTTCTCCATGAACTCGAAAGCCAGGAGCTGCTCTTGAGCGCAGTATCCCACCAAGTTCACGAGATAAGTGTGGTGATCTGGCTAGCAGGGACAGCTCCTTCATCAAAGACTTGTCACCGGCACGGGATTTCTTCAAAGCCAGTGGAAGAACAGCCTTGTACACCACTCCGCTGGCACCTTTCGCGACGATCATGTCTGAGTAGTAGCCTTTTGTAGCGTGGATGATCTCCGAGCTGCTGAATGTCACCAGCCTGTTTGCTAGAATCTCCCATTCCTCCGATGTGGATGGTTTCCCTCGCCAAGGTAAACAGCCACATTGAAATGGACGCTTGGGTCGTCGCCGAAGAAAATACCCCGCTGTAAAAGCAGCAGCGCCAAGGATGAAGATTCCTTCCATAGAAAATCCCACTGCTAAGTTCCTTGAGTCATGCAATTTCGTTGGCTCCCTTCCCGTGCACTGCTTGCTGCCTCGTAAACACTCAAGACACACTCGATCGCCAGCAACCGGACACCTCTTCGAGCCAGCTTGCAAAAGCTGGTACTGCTGCTTGCTACATGCGTCACTTGTACACAATCCTTGGGTCACTCTGATACTTGCTCCTGCGAAATCAACCGAGTTTCCCCAGCACTTGACCCTCTCTGGATCTTTCAAGCTCACACCACAGGTGTAGTAGTCTCCAGCTGAAATGACTGAAAAGGCCTCGCCTTCCGGGGCATCCGTCTGGTTGAAAGCATTGTCACCCCAGCAGACTACGTTCCCTGTGTCCTTCACTATCCCGCATGAGTGGAACAGTCCCAAAGCTAGCGAACAAAATGCTTGGATCGTCAACCGGCCCTGGACCTGTCCGTGGTCGTTATATCCCCAACAAACCGGAGCGCTACTGTTCTTTACCAGTCCGCAAGCGTGTGTTCCTCCGGAGAACAAAGCACCAAAGGTGATACCACTGGGCAGTGAACGGACTGGAGCGTCCCATCCCCAGCAAAACGCTTCACCAGTCTTGATGAGCCCGCAAGTGTAGCCATAGCCGGAGCTCACCATGACAAAGCTGCGATTTTTCTGTACGTCTAGCTCCCCATCCACGTTTGATCCCCAGCAGTCTAGCTTTCCACTGCTTCTCAGCGCACAGACGTGATCCTATCCGGCACTCAAGCTGCTATAGCTGACATTCCTGTAAACCGATGGAACGGCCATCGTGGAATTCCCCCAGCAAAATGGGTTTTTTCTCTCGTAGCTAAGTCCGCAAGTGAAGTAGCCACCGGAGCTCAGAGCAAACATGGGAGTGCTTGGAGCATCTGTGTTGTTTTGCGTTGGAAAAGTACCTGAGCACGATGGCATGAGTGTTCCCGCCTCGAGCAAGCACAGCGCGAAGAAATTCCTGTCGTCCCAGTTCGGATTGTCCGACTTGCTCCACATCGGTCCCAGAGTGTTCATCGTCCCGATGGATGCAGCAGTCCATGGCAGCGGTAGAACTGCGCAAAACAGTGCCATATCATGTAAGATGCTAGAGCGATGAAAGACTTGATGATCCATGCTGGTTGATCTCTGGAGAAGCTTAGCTCACCTGATGGAATAGACGCGAGCATCCATTCGTGCTACGTTTCAATGTCCATGGCTTTTTCTGGTGGCAGAGACAAGGAAAATGATCGCGATCATGTGGCGTGCTTAATAGAGATACCAATGAAATGTTGACGGAGAGAAGAGCAAGAAAATCTTCCATGCGCTGACCAGGGTGATCTCAGCGCAATAGCTAAACTTCTGGGCTTTCCCTCGGTTTCGTCCAAAGCAATCGTTTGAACAGCTTAGGTAAACGGCTAAGATTAAAGGCACTGTTGAAGTATACGCTCTCTATGACATGATGTTAGGTGGCAAGAGTGCCATTTCATTGATCCAGGTGTAGGCTAGAGGCGTGTCTCTTCATCATGTATATATATCTTTGATATTATATACGATTATCCTGAGAGTCATCCACCATTGTAGCTTCCACTCTTCTTCTCTTCATGGTATTGGAGCCTTGAGGGCTTCAGATCCTAGGACGATGGCACTGGCCGAGGAGGAGGCCAGTGAGGATGACGATGAGCCACCAGATGAGCCACCAGACGAGCCACCAGACGTGGCTGAGAGGTGCCAAGTTTTGGCACTGTGCTGCACTGAGCGCTAAGATAACGGCACTAGCGAGCTGAGCAAGGCACTAGGGCGTGATCGAGCAGAGACCGACCCGCTGGCAGAGGTGCTGAGAGAGGGTTGGCGCGAGGCACTGGCCGAACAGAGGTGAGCGCTGGGCACCCTGTAGGGTAGAGGTGCGAAACACCAAGGGCTGCAGGCAGAGGTGCGAGGGATTGGAGTGCTGGGGCGCTGGTGGACTGGACAGAGGTGCTGTCCAGAAGCAAGCAGGCAGAGGCGATGCCGAGTGCTGGGCTGTGAGAGGGCAGAGGGAGAGAGCCGTTAGGACTCTGGCCGAGGAGGCTTGATCGATGCTGAGACGATGAGGGCTGGCTTGAGGCACCGGAGCGTTGAGTGAGGTGCTGGTGTGAGAGAGCGACCCTGAGAGAGTGGTGCAAGGCACGAACAGAGAGGCGCTGGCAGAGGCGCTGAGAGAGGAGAGACTGCGATCAGAGGCCGTGAACGAGGCGCTAGGGCGTGCGAGACCCCGCAGACACTGGCCAGAGGTGAGTGCCGGGCGTAGAGGCACGAGGCCCCGAGGGCTGGCCGAGCAGAGACTGCACTGGAGCGCTGAGTGAAGCGCTGGTGTGAGAAGGCGCTGGCAGAGGCGCTGAGAGGAGGCACCGAACAGAGACAGATTTCTGTCGTGGACACGATAGAGTGCTTGGATGCAGAGGGAGAGTGATCTCAGATTCATGTCATCAAGATCGAGAGGGAGTGTTGAGGTATACGCTTTCTATGACATGATTTTAGGTGGCAGGAGTGCCACTTCATTGATCCAGGTGTAGGCTAGAGGCGTGTCTCTTCATCATGTATATATATCTTTGATATTATATATGATTATCCTGAGAGTCATCCACCATCGTAGCTTCCGCTTTTTTTCTCTTCAGGCACGAAGTAGGGTTCCTTCACAAGACAACATGAATCAAATACTTTTAACGATAGCACTACTACTGCTAACATCTTGGTGTCCCGTGACACAGCACTGCAGAGTGTTCGAAGACGACTGCAAGTCAAAGGGTGTGAATGAAATCCACCCCATCACGTAAGTTTTTTCGTTCCTCATCTTTGTTTGACTTTTGATTTGTAGCGAGACTGTGGACTTGGGCGAGATGTTGGTGGAGGCCCTGCGCAAATTGGGCGAGGATTTGCTCGAGGACCTGCACAAAAAACTGAGTGAGGAGCTGCACAAACTGCGCCAAGAACTGGGTGAGGACGTGCGCAGTTTGCAGGAGGACCTGTGCAAGGATAAGTGCGACCTCTGCAAGCAGTGTGCAAATTGCTCGAGGACCACCTTAGATATACGAGGACAATAATATTGTCTTATCTATGTTAGATGATTCACTGTTAAAAACCTAAACATTAGTCCCTTCTTTTTAGGGTTCTTCCCATTGGCGGGAAGAAAGGTTTAGGGCTTTACAAGGGCGATGCGGCAACGCCAGGTACTGGGATCCGCCACAGGGATTCGCATTCTTACAGGATGTATGGTCTCGAGCAAGCGATCTATGGGCGGATTCAGCGGCGGCCAGGACGCGTTGACCTACGCCAAGCTCGCCGTGCGCGAGAAGGAAATGCGGCTCATCCATCGTGTAGCCGGGGCCGTGGCTGCCAAGGAGCTCGTCTCAAAGGCGCGGTTCCAAAAGATCGCCAAGAAGCTGGGATTTCGCAACAGGGACTCCGAGTTCTTTCTGAGGAAATTCCGGCTCATGTTTGAGATGTGTGACAAGGAGTCCCGTAAGATCGTGGAGCTGACCGAGACGATGAAGCACCTCATGAAGAGGGAGGAGGAAGTTCTAAAGCAGCACGAGCCGTATGCTGTCCAGGTCTTGAGGAAGCTCTTGATGATGGCCAAGGAAGGGAGGATTCCAGTGAAGAAGCTTAGCATTCTCAAGCCGTGCTTTGGCTTCTCCGAGGATTTCGAGACCACCACCCTGGTCAGGTTCCCGGATTTTTTCACGATCACCAGGAACCAAAAGGACGACGCGATGCTGGAGCTGGGGGCTTGGGATCCAGCGCTAGCGGTCACGGCTCGAGAGCTCCGGGGGGTAAAACATATAGACCCGAGCCGCAAGGACAAGTTTTGCGAGGGAAATCCTCACAGCTTTCGAGTAGCTTTCGAGAACAACTGCGAGATGGAAAGGGACAGATATTTGAAGCTCTTGTCCTTCCAGAAGCGCCGGTTTGATTCTCCATACGAGCGTGGTGTTAAAGTTGACGATCCGGATGGCTCGCCAGAGGCGCGGAAGCGGTCTCTCGCGGTTTGTCACGAGTTTCTAAGCTTGACGTTGCTGAAGCGAGCGAATGTGAGAGATCTAGCGATTCTCAAAGACGAGCTCCAGCTTCCAGAGGACTTGGCCAAGTTTTTGCGAAGGGAGTCGCTGTTCTTCGCCATGGAACGGCTCAACAACTATTACTTCGTGTTCTTGCGGGAAGCTTACCACTGGGACTACAAGATTGAGATGTCCCCGTACATTGATTTGCGTCGGAAGTACGTGGAACTGGCGCTTGTTTCAAGGAAGAAGAGACCACTTAAGCGGAGCTTGCTACCTCTAACAGATCCGCGAAGAAGAAGCCGGAGCAGTCTTTGTACTCCAGATTCCTTGCCTGAGGCTGAGCCGGATCTTTCCAAGGCCGTTAACGATGAACAACTGGAGGAAACAACTTATGAAAGTGATCATCCAGCAGAAGTGAGCGACAGTGACGACTTTACTGATGGAACCAGTGACGATACAGAGGACGACGTAATTTCTCGCGAACAGCAACCAGCAACAGCATCAAGCAGGTAATGCGTTTCACAAATATCTGGATTGCACTGATTGTCTGGAAGTTTTAAGGATAGACCTCGATAATGGAGGCAGAATCGACTCTAGCTCTGACTGATAAGCTGGAGAAGCCGGCAGCCATCGCAACTTGCTCCAACTCCTTGTAAGTTCTCTCCTTTGCTGCTTCTCCTGTTGTTAGCATAGCTAGATCATACAAAACTGCATTCTTGTCAGCCAGGCTGTATTCCTCGCTTTTTTCAGCAACCTCCGGCAGAAGTGCATCAATTACCACCACCTTGCCTCCCTCTGCAAGTGATTTGCGGCAGTTTTCAAGGATCTTGATAGCTTTTTCGTCACTCCAGTCGTGTAGAACCCACTGCAAAAGTAAATGCCAAAGTCTAGCTCTTAGATTTTCCATCTTGGCCGTAGACATCTTTTTACCTTCAGCAACATGAGGTCTCCTTGAGGAACGGAGACGAACATGTCTCCTCCGACGTTTTCCATACCTGAAGATTAGAAAGTAAGTGCATTCCAAGACACATACAAATTCGTGACGAACCTTGTACTTTTGCAGCGTGTTCCACGACCACTGGGAGATCGAAGTTAATCCCTTTGACGTTCGGGTACTTGGCAAGGATAATTTCTAGAGACGCTCCCAAGCTGCCACCGACATCCACAATCACCTTCGCATGCTGGAAGCCGTCGTAAACTTGCAGAGCGAGCCGCATGGTACGTCTCGTGTAAGCTGACATGACGGTGTTGAAAACCGTGACGATGGCTGGGTCCAGCTCGAACACCGACTTTCCAGCATGAGCTTTGGAGCCTGGCTGTACACCTTCGAGTATAGCGTCAGGTAACAAGTCCCATACATTATACTGCTTGGGGAAAAACATCATCGATGGTACCATTGATTCGCTATTGCCTTCTGTGACTAGGTGCTTGGAGACGGCGTTGAGGCCATACCTCTGTTCTCCCTCTGACGAGGGGCACTCTTGGAAGACACCAAACATGGCCAGAGCACGCATAAGTCGACCCAGCTGAGATGCGGAAGAATCTAGAGTGGCTTTGCTGCGCAGCGGCAGCTGGTCGCAGATCTCTACTGGGGAGAGCAAGGAGGGTGCGGCCTTGTTGAGGATGTCAGGTACCTTGAGCTTCACCAAGGCCTTGAGGGACGAGGAGATGAAGTGTCCCTGGTTGATCAATATGAGCTTCATCCAACTTTCGTCTTCCATGTTGCTCGGTGCGCTCAGGGCTCCTCGACTTCTTTAGGTGAGTGCCGGAGTGACGATTGAGGAGATTGACTGATATTGCTTTCACTGTAGGACCTTGGCACAGATTCAATTGGTAAAGTTCCTCTACTTGACCGACTTGAACGTTACGTGTTCTGGAACCAGCTTGACCGGACGTAAATACGTAGTACGTACGTAATAGTTTTAATATGTTTTGTAAATAACGCCCACAGGCTTGGAGGTGCTGATGATCACATTCCGTCATGCCTTAGTGGCGCAGCTTTATGAGAAGCTGCTTGGATGGCGGAAGAAATCATCGCTAGAACATACTTATAACGTCAAACGCCATCAAACATTGACAACAATTTTTGACTTCAGAATATGGTATGCACAAAAACTTTAGATTTCCCTGCCGCAAGATCTAAGGATGTCCTCCTACGGTGATGCCGATGCAGAGACTGGAGAAGCGACTCATGCTCTTCATGTTTCGTCTGGCGCTAGTGCGTCTGGCATTTACATCTCCTTTGGTTCTACTCCCACGATTTCGCGTTTCTTTTCGACGGTCTTTTGCGATGGGGGTTCTACCTTTGATGCCTGGCTGAACATGTCGACAACCAAGGTATGGTTTTGTTTTTCTTACTTCCACTGGAATTTCTGGTATTTGTTAACAGATATCGCAACTGCTAGTATCGCTACCTTTTGCAATGTCGCAAATGGGATTTGTTTCTGGCATACTTGCTATCTTGATTCAGTCTACTGTAGGCTGCTGGAGCGCTTGGATGATGAACACCTTGTACCTGCAGTATCGTCATAATAGGCTGAAAGACGACCCCCACTCTTTCAAGCGCCACACTATACAGGTGGAGTGAGTGGCTTTTCACGAAGAAACTGGTGTTTTTTACGTCTTTACGTTCTTTACGTTCTTTACGTCTAGCAGATGCACGAGGTTCTTGGCGGTCTTTTAGGACGCCGCTGGGAAACAATCACACTGATATTTAACTTTGGAATCATGTTCAGCTTTGCAGCTATTCAAATGGTTGCTGTTGGAAAGTAAGTGATGAATTCGGTGTTCCAAATCATTGAAATTCGAATGTTTGCAGCATCGTATACTACATCAATGACAAGTTAGAACGAAGAACTTGGACTTTAGTCCTCGGTTCATGCTTTGCAACGACTGTCTTCATTCCCTCGCTTCGGAACTATAGAATGTGGTCTTTCGCCGGTCTTGTGATGATCGTTTACACTGCTTTGTATATGGCATTTGCTTCTTTCGCAATTCACCAGGTATATATTGTGTGTTTCAAGCGGTTCTGAGCCAAGCTTCGTGCAGGATGACGACGTGAGGCACACGGCACCTCACAGCATCAGGAGCTACTTCAACGGGTTTGCTAGCACTATCATATTTGGAGCTCATGCGATCCCAGTGTAAGCTTTTACTCAAGTTCTAGACTCGACTTTGAATCTTTACTTTGCAGGGAGCTAATGGATGCGATGTGGCAACCTTCAAAATACAAGCTGACTTCTCTCTATTCGGACTTGTTCATGACACCTGTGGTGCTGTTTTCGATTATAAGCGTCTACTGGGCTTTCGGAGACAACGTACAGTATAATGTCTTCTCTTTGCTCCCACGCACAAAATTTCGTGATGCGGCAGTGGTTCTTATGCTCCTACACCAGGTATTCAACCCAAAACACGCGGTTCTCTATCTATACTATTGACGGCCGTGCTGAGCAGCTCATCGAGTATGGGATTTTGTCACAGCCTCTATATATTATTGTAGAGAAGTGGTTAAAAGTTCATCAGTCTCCAAGCTACTGGAAGAAAACGTTGGTCAGAACTCCAGTCTTTTTGGCATCCTTGTTGGTGGCTATTATGTTCCCGTTTTATGGAACTTTGAGCTCGGCGGCCGGGTCCATCTTTATGACCTGGCTATACGTCATTCCCTGTGCTGCGTCCGTGCTCGTCTATTGGACTTCCAAATCTCAAAAGGTACCGTACACGGTTCTAAAGACTAATCTAACCTCACTGCTGTTTAGAATGCAATCGAGCAGCCTCCGTTTGGCATGAGCTGGTTGAGCCTCCACTGCATGAACTTGGGAGCCATCCTTTGGATGGTAATCATGGCCGGTGGCTTTGCAACATGGGCAAGCATCAGCGTGCTAAGGAACCAAGCTCACGAGTTTGGACTGTTCGCAAAGTGCTATCGGTGCCCCGGAAGACGCTCGTAGTCTGTGCTCCTCGTGCCTTCGCAAGTAAGCATAAACACGTTTCTTGGTCCCTCAAACTAATGGAAAATACTACGTTTCCAGATCTCTGCGCTCTGAAACAAGGCACCTTTGCTACTACTGATCACCAGTGTTTACTCCAGAGGTTGAAAAGAGTGCTTGGCAGCTCGAGCTTCACGGGCTTTTGGTCCTGCAATCCAAGTGAAGTGTGGCAAGAGCAAGCGGCATAGTTGCAAACCTGTTCCGGGGAGATGAAACAACGAAGAGCTGTAACAGTAGAAGCAGTGGCACGGGCAGAAGAACGTGGAGGCAGTGCCAAGAAACGGAGTGGTGTCGAGCGTTACATGGTTGCGTTGTGGTGCGGCGGCCTGGCATTGGATCATAGCAAGCACCACAGAGGCAAGAACAAGCATGGAGTAAACCTCTCAAAATAATCTCTTTTTGTGACAAAACATGATGAAAGTTCTTGCAAGCTAATGCTTGTGTGGTACAGGCGACTACTATGATCTCCCCTGAGGCACCATTTATCTCAAACATTACAGAAGTGTTATGTATTGAGAATGATCGTCTTATTAAACCTTTGGATTTGCTTTTTCTAAAGCTTAAGATTCTCTTTTTGTTCGAAAACAAAATTACCGAAAACAAAATTACCTTTTCATACGTCAACTTTGAGAGTGGACAGAGCGCTCTTCCTATTGAGCTCCATGCTAAGAGAGGCTTTGGCATATTCTCCATACAAACTTTCTTTGAATTTCGCGGGACATTCCTCGTTGACAAGCTCCGGGATGGGCCCAATGCGAGCACCCAGACCGGGGCTATAGAAGCAGGCGATGGAGACTCGAGCTCTTTCGGCATTGACCACTCCTCGATGCTCCACGCTCTTGAACTTATCGTTGGAGAGAATCTAGCACGCGCACTCAATGTAGAGAATCTAAGAAAGCAAGAGCATACCTGGAGCTGGTCTCCAATGTTGACCACGAGAGCTCCGGGCAAAGGCTTGAGAGTCACCCACGCTCCATCGTGAAGAACTTGAAGGCCCTCTACGTCCTGCTGCAAGATCGTGAAGGCGTTTATGTCCGAGTGAGGCTGGATTCCAATGGTGAGCTGTGGCTCCGGGCAGGGAGGATAGTGATTCAGCCTCATGGACATGAGCTCGCCTTCGAATCTCCCGGCGAGCTCGCTCCCTTCAAGTCCCAGAGATTCCGAGAAGAGCTCCAGCAGCCGCCTGGCCAGAGCAGTGATCTCCGCTCCATAACTGGTGGAGACGTTTCGGTAGCTCGCGGGATTTTCTGGAAGCTTGCTTGGATCGCAAGGTGGGGAGCACATCTGGAAGAAAAACTCCTGCCAGGTTGCGCTTGGCCGCCGACTCTTGGACACCTCGAAGTTGGTCGCAAAACCGACCTCGTCCAAGACATTGTCCGAGTAGTAGACGAGCTTGTCTTGGGCTGGAAGATCGAAGAACTTGTAGGCCACCTCCATCATCTCGTCGCTGAGCTCGCGGGGAATTCCATGTCCTAGCAACTGGAAGAATCCCCAGCTCTCACAGGCGTCCCGGAGAGCTTGGAGTGCTCTCTCCCTTGAGTCGGTCTCCTCCAAGTTGGATATGTCCACCACTGGAACTTCGTGATCGAGATCTTTCCATGGGTGTGGATCCGGAGCCCTGTGAAACTCACCAGGAATCTTGAAGAACGAAAGACTGCCCATGATTCTTTTTTCCCCTTTTCTACGATCTAAAAGAACGCGAACTTAAGGAGAATGCCTCGCGATCAAATGACCAAGACATGTATTGGTCACTCCTTAGATTTGACACGCATCTATGTTTTAATTTCCAAAAGTCCTATGCGCAAAAAGACAGATAAATGCGCTAGAAAGATAGATTTGTTGACTTTAGAGTTGAAAAGCCTCGCGCCCATCAGCTTCTTTATCTATTCAAATAATAAACAAGCAAACAAAAATATTATTCATTAAACCAAAATCCCGCTCGAAGGCTTTGGTATATTCTCCGTACAAAGGGCATCAAGCTCCGCCCAGACCGGGACTATAGAAGCAAACGATGGAAACTCGATCTCTTTCGGGATTGACCACTCCTCGCCATTGGAGAGATCTAACGCGTGATCGATCGAGAAGAAAACTCAATCGATAGAATCCAAACAAAAGAGAGAAATTGGAGGCCCTCCCAAGATCGCGAAGGCGTTTATGTCCGAGTGAGGCTTCGAGGACAATGATTCAGCCTCATGTTAACTAGCTCACTCGCTCCAAGTCCCAGCGATTCCGAGAAGAGCTCCAGCAGCCGCCTGGACAGAGCGGTGACCTCCGCTCCATAACTCGTGGAGACGTCTCTGTCGCGCGCCAGATTTGCCGGAAGCTTGCTTGGATCGCAAGGTGACGTCTGGACCTGCTTGGACGCCTCGAAGCTGGTCGCAAAACCGACCTCGTCCGAATTCCATGTCCTAGCAACAGGAAGAATCCCCAGCTTTCCACGAGGGCTTGGAAAGCTCTTTCTTGAATCGATGGTCTCCAAGATGGATATATCTAATACTGGAACTTCGTGACTGAGATCGCACAGCCCTATGAAACTCACTAGGAATCTTAGGGAACGAAAAACTGCCCAAAGTTTTATTTCTTCCTTTGCTTTGCTACGATATACCATCGAATAGAACTTAAAAGAAGTACCTCGTTGTTTAAGCGTTATTTGACCATAATATAAGAATATTCTACGCATCAACAGACAATGTTTAAAAGTCAAAATTGTTGACTTTAGAGTTGACCCGGACGGTTGGTGCGTGAATTAGTGGTAAACTAGCTTTAATTTGCTTACCAAATACTAGGAGTAGCGATTTAAATGCCGGTCTTCGCTTTTAAAGCCGTTGGTCTTCCACAATTGGAAACCCATCTTCCTTTCAAGCATGAGAGAGGAGCGCTGAGAGATGGAAGCTAGCGTTTCGTCCATGGATGGAAGCATTGGGAGCTCTTCGCCAAACGGCCGCTCCAACCAGGTTGGTCGATCGATCGCTGCTCGAGTGTGTTCTTACGTGATCGTGATCCTTCTTTGGCGATGGAACGAATCGCAAAACCCATCCAGAGCGTCGAGGAGCTGAGGAGCACGATCATGGCGGCAAAGCTGGAGCTGGAGTCGACGCGGTCAGCGGCCAAGGCCCAGGCGGCGGTCCACAAAGCCAAGGTGGCGCAGCTGGAGGAGCTCTTGGTGATCGCGCGCCGGGAGCGCGACGAAGCCATCCAGAGATTCATGGAGCTCCAAAGCAATGTGGTGGTGTGTAGCTCCAGCATCTCGAGCTGCAGCCTCGCCGCCGCCGCTTCCTTCATCGCTGACAGCCCCCTGGATCACCACAGCAGCTTCAACGATCACCACGATCAGTCCGCCGAGTGGTTTGATTTCCCCAGCTTCGAGAACAGCCGCGAGGATCAAGCCACTTTGCTTGGAGGAGGAGGAGCTGCGCAAGTGGACGATGATCGTGGTGGCGATGGTGGATTCTCGCTGTATAGCGTGGAGCCCTTGGTGGCAGCGTCTGCCGCGATGGTGGACTCTAATGCCGAGAATCACCACCACTTCCAGCAACAAAGCCCATTCGATCCTCCTCCACCCCATCTCCCTCCAAGCCTCTTCTCCCCGGCCACCACCACCATTCTAAGCTCCTCGCTCCAAAACAATGGCTCGGCGCTCGCTTCCATCCTCACGCCCCTCCAGCAGCACAGCGACTATGCCAGGGCAGGGAGAGACTTCGATCCCTTGGCCAGGAAATTCGAGGATCCCACCGCCGTCGCCGTGGAAGATCACGCGACCACCGAGATGAATCTCAACCTAATGCTGCGAAATCTCCCCGAGCGCGGCAAGCTGCTCCAGGCGGTGATGAACGCCGGCCCACTGCTCCACACGCTCCTCCTGGCGGGGCCTCTTCCGCAATGGCACCATCCACCCCCGGGCCTCGATTCCTTTCAATTCCTGGCCGCGCCATTCCCGGCCCTGATCGATCAGCAACAGCACTTGGGCAAGCAGCAGCAGCCACATTCGTCCGTGAGCGATGGCGCCGCGGTCACCAGCAAGTGAGAAGATCCACAAACCCTAGAAACAGAGGAGGAACCCTAAATTCGCGAAGAACCCTAAAAGAAAAAGAACTTTAATTTGTCTCTGTTTTGCTTAGATCTAATGGGGACGCGCTTGGTACTGCCAGTGGAGTGAACTGGATCCAGCCAAAACCACCGCCCAATGCGGCGAGCCCTTCTCGCACGATTCGGAAAGAAGAGAGAAAAAAAAAAAAACAAACACTATAGGGTTCCACTTCGATCAGATCGAGCGCGGCTCCCTCCCATGATCTGAGCTCCAAGTCGCGGCAATGCGGGTCACAGGTACGCGAATTCTAGCCGCCCAGATGAGAATTGATCGAGGGAATCGCCCAATTTCTCGCCCAGATCATCCCCTCTTCTTCTTCATCGTTCTCGCCTCCTTCCTCGCGCTCTTGGGCCGATCCAGCGCGCAGTGGAAGCCACAGGATGTGTTTAGGATCAGCTGTGGGGAATCGCGCAGCGACATCGATGGCAATGGCCTGGAATGGACGCCCGATGCCGAGAATCCCAGGCTTGTTGCCGGCGGCACGCCGACCAACAGTACGCGCGGTACGAGCGGTACCTCCGTCCCATACCGCGCGGCACGGGTATTCACCAGCCCGGCAAGCTATAGCTTCTCCATCAGCCCGGGACGGCATTGGGTCCGCCTCCACTTCGCCCCTCTCGCGGACGCCTCCTCGCGTGCGCGCTTCTCGGTCGCGATTGGATCGCGGCTGCTCGTCGCGAACTCCAGCATCGCGGAAGACATTGCCGCCGGCAATGGATCGAGCCCGGTGGTGAGGGAGTTCACGATCCACACCAGCGGCACCGCCGTCGCCGTCACGCTCACCCCCAGCGCCTCCTTCATCGCCTTCGTCAGCGGCATCGAGCTCATCTCCATGGCGCGCGACGCGCTGTCGCCCAGCGTCGTGGAGATCTCGCCCGAGGCCAGCGAGAGCCGGCAAGTGGAGATCGCCGGGATCCTGGCGCGCACGCTCTACCGCCTCAATGTGGGCGGGGACCTCATCGCCCCGGGCAACGATTCCTCCTCCCAGGCCCGGACGTGGCTGCCGGACGAGCCCTTCCTCCAAGGAGTCGCGCGAGGGGTGCCCGTGCCGCCGGCTGTACCGGACATCGTCTACCCGGCCACGGTGCCCGAGTACATTGCGCCGCGCGGCGTCTACGGTACCGCGCGGTCCCTGGGCGGCTCCAACACCGTCACAAACGCGTTTAACATCTCGTGGGCGTTCTCGGTCGCGCCCGGCTATGCCCACTACGTCCGCCTCCACTTCGCGGAGCTCGTCTACAGCTCTCCAATGCAAAGGATCTTCAGCGTTTACATCAACAACCGGACAGCCATCCGAGCTCTAGATTTGATCCAGCAAACCGGCGCCGCCAACACTCCCTACTACCGAGATTTCCTGGTTCTTCCAGTGGACGGGCTCGCTAACCTCCGGCTCCAAGTCGGGCCTCTCACCGGATCGAACAGCCAGGTCCAGGACGCGATTCTAAACGGCGTGGAGATCTTCCGGCTCAACGACTCGTCCGGGAGCGTGGATGGGCTGGCTGTGGTGCCGCGGAGCTCGGACAGTGGCGGTAACGGAGGCCACCACCTCGGTGTGATAATCGGCTGCGTCGCTGGCGGGGTGTTCGCGCTGGTGGCGATCGCGCTCGCGATTTGTTTCTTCTTCCGCTGCTGCAAAGGTGGCGGGAAGAAGCCGAGCACTTCGTCCTGGCAAGCTTTGGGAAATGGCCACCCCCACCACCACCACCATGCTTTCTCGCTCACCACGCTCGGCTCCACGATGGGAGCCGGCTCGCCCAGGAGCGCCGCCGGGAGCTACTACAATGCCGGCTCGGCTGCCAGCGCCGGAGGCCACGGCCGCTACTTCACGCTCCAGGAGATCGCCGAGGCCACGAACAGCTTCGACGAGACAAGGCTCCTCGGCGTGGGAGGATTCGGTCGCGTCTACAAGGGCGAGATCGACAATGGCACGCTGGAGGTGGCGGTGAAGCGCGGCAACCCGAGGTCGGAGCAAGGCATAGCCGAGTTCCAGGCGGAGATCGGGCTCCTATCGAAGCTCCGCCACCGCCACCTTGTCTCTCTCATCGGATACTGCGACGAGCAGTCGGAGATGATCCTGGTCTACGAGTACATGGCCCGAGGGCCTCTCCGCGGCCATCTCTACGGCACGGAGGATCTCCAGCCGCTACCCTGGCGGCACCGGCTGGAGATCCTGGTCGGGGCGGCGCGGGGATTGCACTACCTCCACACCGGAGCCGCGATCATCCACCGGGACGTGAAGACCACCAACATCCTTCTAGACGAGCATCTGGTGGCGAAAGTGTCCGACTTTGGGCTGTCCAAGACGGGGCCGATGCTGGATCAAACGCACGTCTCCACGGCCGTGAAGGGGAGCTTCGGGTACCTGGATCCGGAGTACTTCCGGCGGCAGCAGCTCACGGACAAGTCGGACGTGTACAGCTTTGGAGTGGTGATGGTGGAGGTGATGTGCGCGCGTCCCGCCATCGATCCGGCGCTGCCAAGAGAGCAAGTTAACATCGCCGAGTGGGCGATGAGCGCGCAGCGCAGCGGGAGGCTGGAGGAGATACTGGACCCGACGCTGCGGAGGCCCGGGAGCGACGAGGACGCGGACATGGCGTCGGTGAGGAAAGTTGGCGAGACCGCGGACAAGTGCTTGCAAGAGAATGGCGTCCAGAGGCCGAGCATGGGCGATGTGCTGTGGAACCTCGAGTCGGCGCTGCACATCCAGGAGGCCGCGCAGAGGAGATTTGGACGTGAGAATGGTGGTGGTGGTGGCGATGCTGGCGGTGGAGTAGCGGCGCCGGCGGCTGGGGCGGTGGAGAATGGTGGTGCTACTTCTAGTGTTCCAATCAGCGCTCGTCAAGCGCCTGGGCAAGCTTCTAACGAGAGCCAGCGAACCACGAGCGAAGTTACTGACGATTACTACGATGGCTACTCGGAGGACGCCTCCGCCAGCGCGGTCTTCTCCCAGCTCGTCAATCCTCAAGGAAGATAAGTTCTAGCCATGTGGATTTTTGTTTTTTCTTCTATTCTTTGGAGCTTCCAAATGCTCACTACTTACAATTTTTCATGAAACTCGCATTTATTCGTAGCGGATCGTGAGAAAGCTTGGATTTTTTTTTTCTTCAGTTCCCACACTACTTATAATCATTCATGGAAATCGCATTTTTATTCGTTTTTGCTAGAAAGCTCGAGATCAAACCTTTTCTCTCTTTACACAAGTCTTACAAATATTTACGCTTTTTGGCGAGGGGACAAAAAAATCGAGCCGAACACTTCTGTGGTAATGAATATAGCGAATCCCCCTGGTGTATGGAATGGTGGAAATGAAAGCGCGAACGAGAGCCTTGCTACTCCTGGAAGAGAGCTTCGATCTCTTCCAGTGTTCTTCCCCGAGTTTCAGGGACTAGAACAGCCACGAACAGGACAGTGAACGCGCACATTCCAGCGAAGAGAGCGAAAGAACCTGGAGAGAAAAAGAGAGCATTAGTTCCACATCTCTGGAGAAAGCTTGTTTTACCTGTGGAGCTCCAGTTGAGTAAGAAATTAAAGGACATAGTCACAAGCCACGAGAAAGTCCAGTTCACCAACGTTGCAACGCTTCCACCCAAGCCTTTGATGTGTGCGGGAAGAACCTCGGACATTATGATCCAGGGAATAGGCCCCATTCCCAGAGCGAAGGAGGTTATGTACACCTAGATTGCGAGCACGCCTATGTTAGTTCACGGGAGAAACTAGTTTTCCTTGAGAGACTTACCAATAGACTGATCAACGCGAGGTTGCCGACAAAGGGTGCAAAGTGAGAAGTCGCGTCCATATGCTGTTGCAGATAGAATGCAAATCCGACTAGAAAGCAGCTCACTGCCATTCCAGCGCCCGAGACCATGAGAAGGAGGCGTCGTCCGGCTCTGTCCATGAGCACAGCAGCCACGCCGGTCATTACCACCTGCAAGAACAGTGTGTTATGATATGGTGATGGCTTGATATATGGATATTTACCTGAAGGAGAGCCAACGAGAGCGACGCAAGATTGCTTGAGCTGAATCCTGTACAAAAGAAAGAGCTTAATAAATAAGCATAGCACATCAATACGATCATACCCGCAGAGTGGAATATGGCACTAGAATAGAACAAAATAGCATTGATGCCCGAAATTTGTTGCAACAATAGCAACCCGATTGTGATCTTCAGTCATGCAAGAGCAGAGCCGTGTTAGATAGAACATGCAAGCGTAAACACTACATTGACTTACAGTAAGGGGAAGGAAAATCGTCTTCTTGCAAAGGTCAGACATCCTTACATTAGCCTCTTGCTTATACGATATATCGACGGCGTCCTATTTGCAAAAGTAATGTGTCAGCGTGGAAATCTAACAAAAAACCAAATGGAATTACCTTGATTTCCGATACTTCTGAAGAAATATCGGAGTCCTTTCCACGCAATGCTTGCAGTGACGTGATAAGAGTGTCTTCAATCCCCATTTTGGCCTTCACAAGCAACCAACGAGTAAGTCAACCAGGGAAAAAGAAAAGGCTGGCGAGAGACTGACCAGCCACCGAGGAGATTCTGGAATAAAGAAAAGGCCCACGAGGAGAACGCTACACGGAGCAACCCCTGACCAACAAAAGGCAGGCATTAGAGAGTGCTCAAAAACAAACACGGCGCGTGGCATACCAACTAAAGCAAGAGTTCTCCAGGGCAAAACAAGACCTCCTAAGTACGACAAGAAGATTCCAGTGGTAACTGAAAGCTACAAAACGAAAAAAATACAAGATCAGTACGGTGAGCTATACTTCGAAGGAACGGACTCACCTGATTTATAGCACCCAGGCTTCCTCTCAAATTTTTGGGAGAAATCTCAGCAATGTACATTGGTACCTGAATTTCCAAATTAAATAAGAGAAATCGAACTTTGACGCACTTACAGTGAAAGAAATAACACCGACTCCAAACCCGACGAGCAATCTTGCTATGTACAGGCTGGCGACATTCTGGAACAAAAAGGAAACTTCGTGATGCTGAATTGACAGCGAGAAGCTACTTACCATGGCCAGGGCGTTTAAGATCCATCCAGCAATGTGTGGAATCGAAGCAATTACAAGTGCCTGATAAAAAGAGCAAAAGAATGAGAACTTTTTGTTTCGCGCTTGGCCTGCTTACCCCTTTCCGTCCAAAGCGATCAGCTATACGGCCACTGAGAATAGCTCCAGCCATGGCACCGGCATTTACCAGAGAACCATACATGGAGAACTACAAAAACAAGTTAGCAGAATTTCTAGACAAGATTTCACAGTTCTCTCAGTACCTCGGAGAGACTAAGCCCCAAATCCTCGGTCAATTTTTGCTGCGTGGGAGATGAATAGCCGACCTACAAAAGGAAAGAGGGAAAAAGTAGCAAACAACGAACAGTTAGATATATCTTTCTCAAAATTAGAAATTCACGAAGAAGGGAAAGCGAGCTTACCGAGAAACCAAACGTGATCGGCCCCAGAGCCACGACGATGGTGCAAAACACCGTGTAGAGAACACTTCCCCTCACTCGCTTCTCGCGTCTCTTGCCCCGGCTGCTGCTACCAGTGCTCTTGCTGCTCTTCCCGGCCAGCAGAGGCTGCCGCTCGCCATTCCTCCCCACTTCCAAATCCACCCCCATGAATGTAGCCCCGGATTCGCAAGATTTCCAGCCCGAGCTCGCGATTCTAGGCGCTGTTAAGTAATCTTACAGCCTTGGAAATGCCGGAAGATTCGCCGCGTGCCGCGATTCCACTCCAGTGGCACACAAGAACAGGGAAACCCTAGAGAGGCTACACGCATGGGGGGCGGGGGAAGAAAAAGGAGCACACACACAAACACAATTCACGGTATAAAAGACCGTGTGTGCTCAAAATCCACGTGGCAATTATGCTGAGCTGTTTCGAGTCATAGCTGATGTGGAGCGGGGCCCGCTGACGTGGAAGGTGACTTGTAGCGATCAGATAGACTCTTTGCTTTGATTTCTTTTCCATGTTGGTCCGTATTGTACAATTGCTTGATGTTTCATCGTTTGCTCTTCCAACGTTGATTGGCTCGCGAGTCACTTCGAGGCATGGGAAACATGTCGAGAAAGAAAAATACAAAGAACACCGACTTGCTCACAACTTGTTTGTTGGGATTTTGCTCGTATTGCTCTACTGTAGCCAGATTTAATCGCACAGCCAGAGAAGAGATTCCTAGCTCTTGCAATACCGACCATATGTATGGCCGAAAAATCTCAAGTATGACGATATTTCAATGTTGTCTTCTTCCATTTCTACAAGATTTCCCGTGGAAAAACCATGAACTTTGGTGCTTTGGTCCCACTGGAATGAAAGGGAATTGCTAAAATAGCCTTGCAAGTTGAGCAGTCATCCAGCCTGTTCGTAGATACTTTCTCTTGGTGTAGAAGAACCAGGGTAAGATCAAAGGAATTACTGTTAAACTTCACATAACCATAAAAATTTGCCTATCTTTGGACAACCATCTCTGTCAATGACAGGAAACATTTGTTCCAGATTATTTAAATAGAATTGGGGGATTTGTTGTTTAAACTCCAAAGATTAATGGCTACTGTAAAACATAATTTATGCAGATGGCCAAGGTTAAAAGCCATATAAAAAGTCAATGGTTAACTGGCTGGTAGTAAATTGTAACTGACAAGTTTTTGCTGATAAACGTTTTGTTGGTAAATGAATGGATGGCTAAAAGAGTATTATAGTCAGATTCGTTGAGGGTTTGAAACATTGGTACATAATAAGTTATGGTGGAAGTTATAAAATTAGTAGATTTTATGTTCCATGGGACACTAAGAGTCAGATGCTTGGTTTGAAAAAGATATATTTAAAAATAATTATTAAAAATAAAATGCAAAGTGAGTTACATGTATTATAATAATACAGTTGGCCTTAGTTATTTACGCATTGAAAAGGCTTGGCATACGGTAGATTACACTTTGGAAATCAAATAACTTCAAACATTCCAAAATTCAAATACACGTCTTTAATAAGAAATTGAATGGATAAGATTTTATGAACCCAAAAAGAACCTTTTTGCCAGTGAAAAGGTATAAAACTGAGGCTTTGGGTTACGGGTTTTAGAGCAGCATGGCGATCGCAGCAACGATTATTGGAGTGGCTGGGAATGTTGTTGCAGCGTTGATGTTTTTGTCTTCGATGTATGTTTTCACTCTTTGTCTTGCTTCATGACCCTCTTTTCCCAATCTGATTCTTGCTTTTCTATTGCAGACTCACTTTCATAAGGATTGCAAAGAAGAAATCCACGGAATCCTTCTCATCGGTGCCCTATATCGCTTCGCTCCTGAATTGTATTCTCTGGGTTCTGTATGGCTCGCCAATCAACAAAAACGCAATGCTGGTCGTCACCATCAATGGGCTTGGGACGGTTCTCAACGTGATCTACGTCTTTCTTTTCTTGTTCTACGCGAGGAAATCGCCCAAGGCATTGGTAAGGATTTGTTTTGAGGGTGATCGATTCTTTGCCAACTTTGGCCCCTTCGAATTTGCAGAAAAGAACATCCCTTTATACGTTTTCGTGCTTGGCGCTCGTGGCGGCCGTGGGCTTTGGCATAAGTCTCGGAATCCATAGCAAGGACACGAGGATTACAATCTTTGGAGTTCTTTGCATCGTCCTCAACATCGCGATGTATTGGTCACCTTTGTCCGTGATGGTAAGTTGGCGGATTAAAACCTTAACCTTCCTTGTTATCATTGCTAATCACAAATCCTCTGTCTTGCAGTACCGGATTTTCAAGACCAAAAGTGTCGAGTTCTTACCTTTTTACCTGTGCTTGACCGTCTTCATCAACAGTGCCCTGTGGTTTGCGTACGCGCTCTTGAAGCACGACATTTACATACTGGTAAGATTTTGCAGTAATATTTATAGGGAATTAACCACGAAGTTTGCCCAATTCAGGTTCCCAATGTTCTTGGACTAGCCGGAGGCGCCGTCCAGCTCTTTTGCCACTACATATATTACAAGCCCGGTAACTTGCTGACGTGGCAGGTGCCTGACGAGAAGGAAGCCGAAGAGAGTGAATCCCCGGATTTGGAGAGTGGAATTGAGTTGCCCAAGCAAAATGGGAAATTTGTTGACGTAGCTCTGAGCACCTCTACCACGGCGACTCAATCATGAAAACCTTTAGAGTAAATTCAATTGTAAATTCATTTCATAGTTTAGTTTAAGGTTTACTGCGTGGACATAGGGTCCTCAAATGCCAAATGGAAATACTGGGAGCTTTGAAAGATCTTGTGTATTTCCCCAAGATTCAAAGCGAGTTATGGTCAACAACAACATTGAATAAGTTGAATAAGTTTCAAGTTTTTATGTGAATGTTTACAAATGACTTTCGGAAATATATATACACAACATAGTGAAATTTGGATGGAATAAACAAACTAAAACAGTAGATTATGTCAGGCCAAAAAATAAAGCTTACAAAATATTAACAACAAGATTTTATTTTATTTACTCATTTAAATTTTTGCATCTCAATGTAAAACTATATAGCCAATACTATGTACTCCATCACGAACCTAGCTAAGCGAAATGTTCCTCAGTCCAAAAAGTAGACATTCCCCAGTCTGCAGCAGTTGGGTGCATGATCACTTCTAGGTCAATTGATTATGGATTCAATCAAAACAAGGAAATCTTGCAGCCTTCATACGTGTACAAGTGAGTATGATCTAGAATCTCGACGTCGTCAACCTCGTCCCATGGCTCAACCATGAGCACCCCAGATTCCACTGGAAGAATGTGTTCCAGCGTTGCCTTCGCCACCTTTCCAGTCGTCCCACTCGGGAGCTTCACAAGCTTTTGCTTTCCAATCGCTTCCTTCTCCTCGCCAATCCACTGGATTCTCACCTCCGCCGCATCGTCCTTTCCCACCAACAGCGATGGAGCTGGATCGATCGCTACCCTCGACACGGGAGGCAAGCTCAACCGGACCCTTCCAACTTGATCCTTGTCAAAGAGATTGGTGCTGCCAAAGTGGGAGTCCTGCTCGCCGGTGAGAGCCTCTAGAAGCTCGCACGACCAGGGATAGATCCCGAGCTTCTCCCGATCGAGAAGCTCCAGCTCCGGATTAACTCGCCGCATTGCCTCCAATCCCAAGTCATAGACCCTCTGGGAATTGGTCGCGTTGTGGCGATAGTCATTGTCCCCGGATGACGATCCCCACTGGAGCAAAGACAAGGCATCCACCGGCGAGCAGGGCTCGGAACTGGAAATCTCCAAAGCCCACAGGATGAGACCGAGAGCACGGATGAGATTGTTGTCGCGCCGCATGATAAACACCTTGCCTGCGTAGTGATCGTGCTTCTCGCAGTAGCACGCGTAGATCTGAAGAAAATGCCTTTCCTCTCCCGGCGCGGCGTAGTGATAGGCCGTGTCATCCACCACCATTGTTTGCTCTAGCTCGATCCCTTCGATCAAGCCCTCGAGCTTTTTCTTGGGAGGATCTCCTTGCAAGAGATCCTCCGCAGAGAAAACCCTGATTTTGCCGCACTCTCCATCACCAAACGCGTCGCAGAGGATCTGATCGACGAGGCCGACGTTCCTGGATCTCGGGCCGCCGCTAAAGAAATTGAGCTGCAAACCTGGAATGGATTGCAGCGCCTGCAAGAACTCTTTCCCACCATGCGCGAGCTCGTAAGGGCCCTCGGTATCTCCCGCTACACAGAATTTCCCTTCCGGATTGAAGAACACGAGCGTATCATCTAGATCCACGAAAACAGTGATCATCTCCAAGAACCCTAAAATTCGCGGCGCTTTAAAGTAATGTAGCCACGTGCGCAGCAGTTAACCGTTCGTGGTTGGACGGCTGGGATTGCGAGCTAGGGCATTTGAAACCCTCGCGATCTCTCGCAATCGATTCGATGGAAGTTCCCGCAGGAGCAGCTGGAGGATTGCTGTCATCCGTGAAGCCTCCACGGATCGAGGATGCGGGTCTGGAGGACACGGCATTAAGCCCCGATGGAATCCAGGTAAGGATAATCTCTATCTCTATCTCGCCCGATCGATCGAGTAAATCCATTCGCCTCGCTCTCGATCCAGGAAGCATTCCGGCTTGCGGCGCAGAAGGTCCGATCGGCAGTGTTTGGCGATGACGATGATGAAGGCGGCCCTGGTCCTTGCGCTGAAGCTCCGATCCCTGGCTATACGCAGTGGGAGGACGCACTGGTAGACGATGCCGCGCGCGAGCAGCAGGGACGAGAGGGACGGAGCTGCGTGGATACGCTCGCTGGGGGGCTGATCGAGGAAGGGCGAGACGTGGTGGTGGATGGGCGGAGGAATGGCGGCGGTGTGGAGGAGGACAGGGTTGTGGAGGGGGAAGCGGCTGGGCCGAGGCTGGGCGAGAGCGGATGTGTCAAGGGAGAGAGTAGCGAGATTCCGGCCTTGGGAAATCTTTGTCTTTGAACTATTCTAATGCCAAGTTGTTAAGTATTAATCTTGTTTTGATTTATTAGATTTATTGCAATCCCAGGGTAAATACAAAATAATCTAGAATTTAATATATATTGTGATTTTTAGTTTGCTTAAGCAAACTTGTAAGGGGACTAAATGATTGTGAATATATCTAAAATATGCTTAAATATTCTAAAATATTCTACATTTAATGGTTGTTATTAATTTTATTTTTTATAATTTATAAACATGTTTATAATTTATAAACTTTTTTAAACCCTTTCTAATATATTCTTTTTTATTCTGTCATCTAATGGTTAATATGCAATAAGATTAATCTTGTGTTTATAAATTACAAACATGCTTATAATAATAAATTATATTTGATCAATTGGATTAATAAATAAAAATAACACTACTATTAAACAAACTAAGCATTGTTACATGCAAAACGTAGCAATTTATATTTCATATGTGAGGTCCAAGTGCACAATTATAATGTTGTATATTAATATTAGCATAATAGAATTTTGGTATCTATCCAACTTGGTTTCAATTTAGACCATTCACTCCTATATATAAATTATGGTTTTTAGGGTAATTGATATATATATATTTTTGTATTCTCTTTCTATATTTTATGCATTCACATTTGTGGAGATGAAAGGCAATTTTGATTGTCCCTAAGGAGTGCTAGGATTTGAGATTTTAGTTTAAATTTATATAGACTATTAATAAAAAAACAATACACACTTAAGGAACTACTTTATAATATATATATATATATATATATATATATATATATATATATATATATATATATATATATAGAGTGCACAAATTGTTATTTTCTTTTATATATGATCCAATCTCATTTTCAAAGCCACTTTGTCAATGAAGATCCATAAAGTGCTTCACAATTCCATTTTTGAATGATATATTCATGCATTTAAAATTTTAATGTTGATATTATTATTACTTCTGTTTCTTGATTTGAATTTCTATTAGGATTACCTAAATATATGTAGTATATTTTAATAAAACATTATCTGGATATTGTTCTATTTCCATTAGATCAAATAACAAGAAGAAGATGGAAGAATACAATCTCATACAATTTCAATCAATATGGTTAATGTAATACTAATGGCTGCATTTTGTATATGAAATGGTTGAATATTATTTGTCCTTTCACTATTTTTAAATAAATCTTTAATATAATAGAAATAAAGTTCATCTTTAGTTAGTTATTCAATGTTTAGAACTAAATAAAGCTGACTATCATTCCTCATGTATTAAAATAGACACAATAAAATTAAGATATAAAATTACATTTTATGAATATTGATGATCAAGACATTGTGATTCCTAGCATATCTGATCTTGAGCAATATGTTTATGGAGGTGTTTAATTTAGATTTGAATTTTCTTGATTTAGAGTAATAAAATGGTAAATAAATTTTCATTTTAAATATGATTTGTTATCTGTTAAGGGTTTAGAGCTGCCCTATTTAATTACTGAGGCTTTGATCCCAGGAGAAAACTTCCGCTCGGAAAGGGTTTAGAGCTTGGTGTTCTGACTACCGAGATTGCAACCCCGTGAAAGCTTCTGCTTCTCACTATTGTACAGCTGACACGCTCAACAAAAATTCTCTTCAGTGGAGCCGGCATGAGGATCTTTGTGAGAACAAGTAAGTCTCCTAAGCTGTAATTCTCACTGTTAATCGTGTGTAACAGTGAGTGGCAGAAGAATTCCCTTTGATCTGGGGTCTTCAGCTCGCATCGAAACTTTGAAAGAGGGGATAAGGCAGGAAGAAGGCATCCCCATGAACCTTCAGCGGCTGCTGTTTGCTGGGAAACTGCTTGAAAGCGGCACCCTTCAAGACTACAATGTCTGCAAGAACGCAACGATCCATCTCTGTCCCTCGTTTCCACGTCTGGGATCGGGAAAGTACAATGACGAATGGTGGGAAAATTATCGTTCTGCTGCACAAGGCGATACGAAAGTTGGTCCCCTGGTTGACAAGGATGGGTAAGCTGGAGCACATCTCTTGTGTGTGTAATACCTTTTGTTTCAGATCCATGACCCAATGCTTAGCATTGACGGCACTAGCATGCAATGCTGATCCTACAATCCCCAAGGGGCTCTTTGAACAACCACGGTTCCTTTCAAGGGAAAAATATGGAGGTGTGTGAAATGTACTGTGTGTTTATGGTTTCTGTTGGTAGAAATCCTTGATGCAGGACTGGGCGCAGCCATCCAAATGTTCGAAAAATCTGCTACGTCAGGAGGATCTGGAGGCCCTTTTGTTGTCCATCCCTATGTACCATTTCCTTCTTTTGAAGAATGGTGGAAACTGAAAGAAAACGCATGGAGGCTCTCTTTTGCCTTTATCGACTCAATTGGAGGTGAGTTTGTTTTTTTAGAGATTCATTTGAGCTTGAGCATTCATTGATGTAGGAGCTGTTTTACTCTATGGAGATCCGTCTTACCTCCATGAGTATATTTCGAGCTGGTTCCACTCAGAGCTCTTTGCTCAGTTGTCGCTTCTCCTCGATGCTTCTGCTGGCAAACATGTACGAGCATATGGAAGTTCTCAAATCATCCTTCCGAACGGTGTCCACAAGGAGCCAGATTTCCTCTTCCAAGCTGTTCTTGCACAACACCTACCTCCTCAATTCGTGGGTGAAGTGGCTTATGGGAATGAGTCGTATGCGGTGCTGAAGGA